AGCAGGGCCACTGCATTACACAGCTCCTCGGGTCATGGCACACACTGAAGTCCCATTGGATCATTCTGTGGTAGCCATGACAGAAGAAGTAATATATATGGTGGCATGAGGCACCAGGAAGAGCCCTGATCTGGAAGGCAGGTGACCTCATTTTTATCAGTGGTCTCTCCTACTGTGTCACTTTGGGCCATGGTTACTCCATTCAAAATGAGGGTAATAATATCTTTTATGGACATAACTGAAGGATTTGACCAATGGCCTCACAAGATCTACTCTAAAAGCACTATTTCTTAGAAAACATCACTTTCTCCATCCACTGGGGCAGGGAAGGTCAGCAGAGGGTTTTACACTCACACTCTCAAGTCAGACAGGGGCCGAGGTTACTGAAGTATCTACTCTATCTTAGACTGAGCCTTTCTAGATGGCTTCTCTATGAGAACTTTAAATAAAAGCATGGGGGAATCAGTAGTTGGCTTAATGGCTATGTCACTGGACTCCCATGTAGTTGACCACGGTTCAAATCCCAGACCCGGTGTGATGGGCTTCCTGTTGGGAACAGCAGTTAGCATAATGGCTATGTCGCTGAACTCCCATGTAGCTGACTGCAGTTAGAGTCCTGGATCCGGTATCTTAAACTTACGCCTGGTGCATGTGCGTGTGTGCCCAAGATCCCGAGAGGAGAATGGAGGAGAAGGGATTGTGGCATGGCCATATACCCTGGGGGGTGATTTCTCACTTTCTATCTCTCTGTCTCTCTCTTTCTGGCAAGCGCATGCATCCTATTGCAAAAACCTCTCAAAAAAAAAAAAAATAGAAGCATGATGGATCCCAGGAGTCATCAGGGAGCTTCACAGAATGGCACCCTTTCAAAGAAGTCACTAGCTCTCATTCCAGGTACAAAAACCTCTCTTCTCCTGCTACAGCCTAGCAGACATTATTCCTACACACAAACTGGCCACGTGCCTCCAAATGCTAGCATGTCCAGGAAGCATGCACCAGCCATGAGTGGCCAAGGAGAGCTCACTGGAATTGGCAGGTCCTCTGTTGCCAGGAAAGTTTTGAAGGAAGGATAAAGAAGAGGATGTGGGAATGTGCCATCTATTTGTGAAACACTGAGCAGAATTTGCTCATATCCCCATGCTGAGCTTTGTCTCTTCTCTTTCAAGGAATCCTTTACCCGGTTTATCTCCAACAAGGAGTAGCATCACTTTCTGTGGAGCATAAAATTGTGGGCACAAAGCATTGGGCGTGTTTAAGCCTTCTGATATCACCCGGATTTCAACCAGGAACCAAGAATGTAACCCATTGGTATATCTGGGAAACGAACTCTTAGACGAAAATGTTTGAGCAGCGTGCACTGGAGAGCATGGCAGGCAGGACTGAACGGAATCTAGAGAATCCATATCCTATTGCAGGTAGAGCCCATGTTTCCCTAGTCCCACAGGGAGCTTTAGAGAAGGGATAACTCAAATAAAGGCAAAAAGCCAGGCTATTCCTGGAATGGGACAGGACTCTGGGCAAGGCAATTCTCTTCAGCTGGGGGAATGTCCCATGGAGGAAGCAGTTGAGGCTGTTGACTGCCAACATTTCCAGCAGCTGGAGAAGGAGTATCTCAGTCTTGGGAGGGGAAATCTGGGCAGCACATGATGGAGTT